TTGTACTTTTACCCTGAAGAATTTTTTACTAGAAAAAAATTTGCAACGCTGTGATCGTCGGAGACTCCATCGTCCGGCACGTCCGTGCTATGTTAGCTGAAGGTAATGTGCACACTCACTGTTTCCCTGGTGCTCGTGTTCTCGATGTTTCTGCGCAGATAACCCACGATCCTGAAGGGCGACGAGAGCATCTGAGAGGTCATGCTGCAGACGGGGGTTAACGACACCAAGCTGCGGCAGACGGAGACACTGAAGAGGGACTTCAGAAGCCTGATCGAGACGGTACGCAGCACATCACCCACATCGACAATCATCGTGTCAGGACCGCTTCCCACGTATCGACGAGGACACGAAAGGTTCAGTAGACATTTTGCTTTAAATGAATGGTTATTGTCATGGTGTAAAGAACAGAAACTGCTCTTTGTTAATAATTGGAATCTTTTCTGGGAGCGTCCTAGGCTTTTTCGCGCTGATGGCCTGCACCCCAGCAGAGTCGGACAACATCTCCAGGACGCTACACACCATATGACTAGTAAGTCAAATCTCAAATAACTACCCTGATGACTTGTGTTCTACCCGCTTAAATGATAGAAATACTTGTGCTGTCCAATCTATAAAGACTGTGTCTGTTCCCCGAATAGTGAGGTCAAAATATAAATTCAATGCAGGATCTATAAAAAATCTGATAGAAATTAAACCGGAAAATTGCTAAATAAATGAACAAAAACTATTTTTAAAGTTTGGGCTCCTAAACATTAGATCACTCTCACCCAAAGCAGTTATTGTAAATGAAATAATCACAGATAATCGTTTTGATGTACTCTGCTTGACTGAAACCTGGCTAAAACCAAATGATTATATTGGTCTAAATGAGTCTACTCCACCAAGCTACTGTTATAAGCATGAGCCCCGTCAGACTGGTCGTGGCGGCGGTGTTGCAACAATATATAGTGATATTCTCAATGTTACTCAGAAGACAGGATACAGGTTTAACTCATTCGAAATACTAATGCTTAATGTTACACTGTCAGATATGCAAAAGAAATCTATCGTATCTCTTGCTCTGGCTACTGTGTATAGACCACCAGGGCCATATACAGATTTCCTAAAAGAATTTGCAGATTTCCTCTCAGACCTATTGGTTACTGTTGATAAAGCGCTAATTGTCAGAGATTTTAACATTCACGTTGATAATACAAATGATGCATTAGGACTTGCGTTTACTGACCTAATAAACTCTTTTGGAGTCAAGCAAAACGTCACCGGGCCCACTCATCGTTTTAATCATACGCTAGATTTAATTATATCGCATGGAATTGATCTTACTGATATAGATATCGTACCTCAAAGTGATGATGTTACTGACCATTTCCTTGTATCATGCATACTGCGTATTACTGATAATAACTATATCGCTCCGCGTTATCGTCTGGGCAGAACTATTGTTCCAGCCACCAAAGACAGATTCACAAATAACCTGCCTGATTTATCTCAACTGCTCTGTGTACCCATAAGTACACATGAACTAGACGAAATAACTAGCAACATGGGCACTATCTTCTCTAATACATTAGAAGCTGTTGCCCCCATCAAATTGAAAAAGGTTAGAGAAAAATGTACTGCGCCATGGTACAACACTATTACCCATTCTCTCAAGAAAAAAACTCTCAATCTTGAGCACAAATGGAGAAAAACTAACTTGGAATTTTTTAGAATTACGTGGAAAAACAGTATGTCCAGCTATAGACAGGTTTTCTCCTATTAAACTCGGATAAGACAGAGATATTACTTATTGGACCAAAAGACAGTACACAGAATCTCGTGGATTACAATTTGCAACTAGACGGATGTACGGTTACTTCCTCTACAGTCAAAAATCTGGGTGTTAGACAGCAACTTGTCTCATGAAAATCATATTTCCCATGTTACAAAAACAGCATTCTTCCATCTTAGAAACATTGCCAAGTTACGAAATATGTTACCTATTTCTGATGCAGAAAAGCTAGTTCATGCATTCATGACCTCTAGACAGGACTATTGTAATGCACTGCTAGGTGGTTGTCCTGCATTCTCAATAATCCTGCATCCTCAATAAACAAGCTTCAGGTAGTCCAAAATGCAGCAGCTAGAGTCCTTACCAGGTCAAGAAAATTTTACAGTCTCTGCACTGGCTACCTATTAAGTTCCGTATCAGTTACAAAATATTATTACTTGCCAACAAGGGCCTTAATTGGGTTAGCTCCTGCGTACCTAACTAGTCTTCTACCACGCTACAATCCATCACGCTCCCTAAGGTCGCAAAACTCCGGACTTTTGGTAGTACCTAGGATAGCAAAGTCCACTAAAGGAGGTAGAGCTTTTTCGCATTTGGCTCCCAAACTCTGGAATAGACTTCCTGATAACGTTCGGGGTTCAGACACACTCTCTCTGTTTAAATCTAGATTAAAGACACATCTCTTTGGCCAAGCATTCAAATAATGCATATCATAATCTTGTACTGCAGTTATATCTGATCAAATGCACATTATTATTCTTTAGTTTGGGTTAAACAAATCAATTTTGCTTGGTTGGAACAGCAGCTACGCTAATTATGTCCCTATTTGTTTCTCTGTTTTTGCCACAGGATTGACATCCCGTGGTAACTAGGATTTACACAAGCTTCAGTCTGGATCCAGAACACCTGAGAAGAGATGATGCCAACCCCTCAGAGGACCTCAGATGATGCCAACCCTGAAACAACATACAGAACTACCACATTTTGCTATAATTTTGGTAGTACCTAGGATAGCAACGTCCAATAAAGGAGGTCGAGCTTTTTCGCATTTGGCTCCCAAACTCTGGAATAGCCTTCCTGATACCGTTCGGGGTTCAGACACACTCTCTTTGTTTAAATCTTAAAGACATCTCTTTGGCCAAGCATTCAAATAATGCATCTCATAATCTTGTACTGCAGTTATATCTGATCAAATGCACATTATTATTCCTTAGCTTGGGTTAAACAAATAATTTTTGCTTGGTTGGAACAGCAGCTACGCTAATTATGTCTCTATTTGTTTCTCTGTTTCTGCCACGGGATTGACATCCCTAGGAATTACACAAGCTTCAGTCTGGATCCCTCTGGAGCCCTTACAAAGACCTGAGATGACCGAACACCTGAGAAGAGATGATGCAAACCTCTCAGAGGACCTCAGATGATGCCAACCCTGAAATAACATAAACTACCAAATTCTGCTACAAGTTTGATTGCAACATATAATTATTGCTGTTAATAGTGTTCATCGTCTGTTTGATTACGTCATTAACTGAATTTTACTGTACATTTCTGCCATATGTACATCAATTTGACATAGTCACCACTGATAAGCTACTAAATATATTGTAGAAACTTAATTTTCTGTAAAGCTGCTTTGCAACGATTTGTATCGTGAAAAGCGCTATACAAATAAACTTGAATTGAATTGAATTAATAATTCCTAAAATTATGTACAGTAGACTTAAAAAAAGGTCCAGTATCCAATTGACACAGAGACCCAAGCCATATCTGGAGATCAAAATATCCTAGAGATTTTTGGTATAGGTTAATTTTACCTGGGCTTGTAAACAACCTCCCAAAACATCCTACTGACATTTACTGCTGTTTAAACTATATTTGAGAAGAGTCTAATCATAAGTAGCTAACACTTTAAATTAGGGAACACTATTCACTATTAACTAGTTGTTTATTAGCATGCATTTAATAGCATATTGACTGCTTAGTAGTTCTTGTAAAACACATATTAATGACCATAATCTAGAACCCAAAATCCTACCAAAAACCTAAACATAACTACTACAACAACAACTAAATTGTTTTTATCTCTTTTTGGAGTTTGATAGATGCAGTAGTGGTTGGTATCGGGGTGAAGATTTGGCTGGTTTTCGTCGTTCAGTTAGCTTGCCATTTCCTTTTTTCATGTATTTGCATTCAAAATCTACTTGGCTCACAAATCTGAGGAAACACAGGCCCCATTAGAATGGGCATGATGCTTCTGTAGCAGGTTGTTACACAACAAATACTCTCGAAGTGGAAAAATGTACTCATGCATTTCTGTAATGTGTCCTTGGCTGCAAAACCGTGTTTTGAACATCTGATCTAATCTCGCTGTCGACAGTGGTACTGTGTTACTGGAATAAAGGGCTTGTTATAATTAACATAATTCTACACATCTTGTTTTTTCAGTTTTGACAGCTTAAAGTATTTTTTCCAAGCTGTCACTGAATGTGCAGATTAGTTTTTTTCCCATGACTCGATCTCGCTCTTTCTTGCGCTGATTGTGACCCTGACATGATAAAGAGACAGATGACATGACCTGATCTCTCTTTAGCGAATGGATGCTGCACACAGTCTCCCGTCCAGAACAGAGATCAGCCGTAGATCTCTTATCCAAAAGCTCCGTATAAATTTAGCAACTGATGTTATGGTATAAAATTAAATACACTTTTGGGCTTGACTCATGGATGGGAAAAGGCATTAAAGACAAAGTTCATCTTACTTTTGTCAGGCATTGATGTGTTCTCGTTGGACAGCACTTCATGTTTAATTATGATGGAAATGTGCAACAGATGTGAGATAGATACAGAAATGACAAACAAGAAAGCTGTAATGCTAAACACTGTCCAGATGTCTTTTATGTCATAACACTACAATAACACATGTATTATGTACAGTGTTGGGGGTAACACATTACAAGTAACGCGAGTTACGTAATCAGATTACTTTTTTCAAGTAACTAGTAAAGTAGCACATTACTTTTTAATTTATAAGAAAATAGTTACTTTTTCAAATAAGTAACGCCAGTTCATTTGTTTTCCCATTTATTGACTGACAGCTCTCCTGTCCCAATGTTGAGAGAAATCAGGAGTAAGTGCAGAGATTGTTTGCCCTTTGTGAACATACATTTACTCATCTCACTTGCACAAAAACAGATTCAGTATTCCTCCAAATTAATAAAGAGCAGTAAAATGCAAACTCAGAATATGACGCAAATCTGCAACAATTGAATGGTAAATAACACAAATATCCTTTATGAATTTAATACCATTTTATTAACCAAGGTCTTTGCTGCTGAGATTCGATTATCAGATTCAATCATACTAATAAGCAAAAATTACTGTAGATGAACTAACGTTTGTGCTTCATTATTTTATTGCTGAAGAGTGTTCAACTGTCTTCTCCTGCATTCTGATGTACAGACATGAATTTACTTTTTCTTCAGCCTACGGCTTATTCATTTCACTTTTTGGTGTGAAAGGGCTTTTAAATTGACCAAAATATAACTTTTTATGTTAAAAACAAACAAGCAAGCCCAGTCCAGATTTGAAAAGTAACGCAAAAGTAACATAACACATTATTTTCCATAAAAAGTAACCAAGTAACGTAATTAGTTACTTTTTTTAGGGAGTAACGCAATATTGTAATGCATTACTTTTAAAAGTAACTTTCCCCAACATGAATATTTGCTTATGGGAATTTATTCATTATATGTTGTCACAGTTTTCCTATAGATGCATTATGGGTATTTACACTGGCTATCTCTGAGAGATTGTAACATTGAACATCTGAACGAGTTGGAATGCGTCACTCTTCACTTGCCATTGTTTTGTGTCCATGTGAGAACATCTTTATAACACACTGACATGTGAGGTCAGATTTAATTTGTTAAGCGTCTGCTTTGCGTGCTCTGTCAATGCAGGACACCGTTATAAAAATACCATCATTGTTTATGTACTGATTTCTCTCTTGCTATGACAAGTATGGGATTAGAGCTTGCTCACATGACATCAGACCCATGAACATGCATAATGATGATGTCACAGACTTCAGATAAATGCAAAGAAGAAAGGTGAAGAGTAGAACCACCCCATGTTGAGAGGAATTTGTCCAGTCTTAAAGCAGAATGTTTGTTGAGTTTGGGATTAAGTGGTATTAGCATGTCAATTTCATGTTTAAAGAGCTCCTTCACGTTCAAAAAAAGCAAACCCGTTCTCTTAGGCCATGTTGAGAAAGATGTTACATTGTATTTTCCGTTCCATACAAAAGCCAAGGAAAACAGAACATAAGTGACACAACTTCAAAGGTGGGTTTATGCTCCCGTTCAATGCCCGTGGCCAAAGCACGCTGCCCAGCTTGGCTGGTTCAGTCGTCATGCGTCTCGTGCTGCATTTGCATAAGACTTTTCCGCTTGAGCGAGTTTTTCAGCCGGCGTTAAGTCAATGGAGAAAAACAAAGTGATTGGCATATTGTGAACGCTGGACAACTTCTCCACCTTTGCGCCTGGCATCAGCTCAGAGACAAATTCAAGTATGTGCTGCTGCCTCATAGGACTAGCGTGTCACTTTGGACGAGGTCACCCGTTCTTGAGCCAACACACATGCATAAAACTGTTTGTTCAGAGCTTTTTGGTTTCATTTCCCACCGCCTTACCCAAAATCTGCTATGTTCAATTTATTCTTCATAATCAATGGCTCTGGCTCTGTGCGATTTCTTGCGTTAGAGATGAAATTGGGCGGCTTATCCAATGAGGATGATTTGAGAGAGTTGCTATCTCAGATGCTTCCGTATTCAGGACATACGCCTGTTTTTATATAGCGCATCCCTAATGATGAGGTATCACTTGGATCATTTAGGTCAACGTTTGACATAAACCTGACGAAATGTAAGGCATTATAACTCATACAAACTACTGAAACAACAACTCAAAGACAACCCAACCCAACCGCGAGAACCCGACCATTTTACACAAAGATTATGAAAAGGAAGGGCGACCACACCTGTTTAGGATCTGATAAACCGCCGCGTGGTCTGACTTCCAAAGTCAATGTTGTGTCACGTCTGTAGCAGAGGACAGGAGAAGCACACGGTCTGAAAGAATACGCCCGTGACAAAGTCAGTTCAAAACCTCATCACCTAAAGACTCATCCTCCCCACAAAAGATGACCTAATATGCCATAAGATTTCCATCATTCCAGCTTTTCTTTTATGTGTAATACTACTCTAATGGTGCAGTTGTTTGCGGTATTGTCAAGCTATAATGAATTGCTTTGGTCAGGTTATATTCAAGCAAATAAGAAAGACCTCTCTTCTGCTGGACTGAGAACAAGACCAAGTCAATATAATACTAACTTCCAGTGCAGACTGAGTAAGTTTATTGATTAGTGTACTGATATTAATATGGACTGCATGAGTTGAAACATATGCAAAATGATTAACAAGACACTGACAGGAAAATTGACAATTTTGTAAACACAGAAACAGCAGCAGAAGTGTGACCGGTCAATAGCTATGCTCCATCCATATATTTTTATGCAAATTTTGGAATTTTGGAAAAACGCTGCATGGAAATGCCAATATGTGCACAAAATCTTAAAATGTGCCTAAAAAAAACATATTTGCAGATTTTTTTTTTCATCCGATAAGAAAACATGCGCATAAACTATGATGGAAACGCATCTAGCTATTAAATTCCTTGATGCACAACAGAAAACTCATGTAACTTTAACAGAACATGTGATTGGATAACTGGTCTAACCAGCGCACCAAATCTCATCGCACACCATCTCAAATGTTGTTTTAATCATTCTGAAATACGTGAGCTAAAGTCCATTGTCCAAATGATTTGGTATGTTACCTCCCTGAACACAATTGCGTTCGCAAACATCATCCGCACACACCATCTCAAATGTTGTTTTAATCATTCTGAAATACGTGAGCCAAAGTCCATTGTCCAAATGATTTGGTATGTTACCTCCCTGAACACAATTGCGTTCGCAAACATCATCCGCCTTTGAACATAAGATAACATGACACAGTCTGTTATTGCGTTTCGTCTGCATGCTTTGAGGTGGAAGTCATGTATTATTTAGGAAAAAAGAGCCACAGGTTTCCCCGATTGCAGCAACTTTTATTCTTAATATTAATATTTTGTGCAGTTTCCCAGGAAGTTTTAGTTCTCTTGAACACATGGAATGAAAGCGGTGCTTTATTTGCAAATAGTTTATGCAATATTCAAATTTTCCTTGTAAGTTAAATTCGCAACGAGCTTATAACAAATAAAATATCTAGAACAAAGAGAAGAACAAATCTTTAAAATAAATAAATAAGTAAATCCTAAGTTTAAATTTGGCCAAATTCTTATAAATCACTCGTTGTAGTCTTGTTTAAAAAAAAATATTTCTTTTAACTACAAAGTTTTTTTTTTTGTCCTAAAAAAATGGAATACATTTTTTACATTTATCAAGTTTTCCCCTGCTGGCTGACGGATTTTCGAACTTTGGGTTACGACCCACCAATTTGGAAGCACAGCTGTCTAGTCGCTGGACCCAGAGGAATGTTTTTCCCCCGGACGTTGTGAATTTTTGCAATGGCCTTGCTAACTTCCATGTGTACATGGGCCCTAATAGAAAGCAGACATAATTAATATGAGATTCCTTTGTGTGATTAATGATATTGATTCAATTTTCCAATCCCGTGTTTTTCCCCAGTTCTGAAAGTTTCATCGGTATTATTGCCATGGCCAATTAGAATGATTGCTCACTGCTGGCATCAAAGGATGCTGGGAGAACGTATCTCGCATTGGAACTCGCATACTTGGAGGACAGAAAAAGAAGTCTGATGTCTCTCATTAGCCTTTGTACATAATCAGAAGGGATGGGTGGAAAATGTCGGCTATTCAAATAATGCCTCAATGTCGGCAAGTATAAATGATTACATGAATAATAAACGAGCCGCTAATAACCACAGCTGGACGTACATCTTCATCTGTTTCAGTGAGAACTCTTCATGTAAAAGCTCTGCAGTGTAAATAACACAGCAGAAGGTAAGGTTAGCCAAAGTTGTAAAAGTTGATAACCCAGCCTGAAACGGAACTGTTAGATTAAGCACAACGAAAATAAAAAAGCAACAGCCTTTATCAATGTCTAGCTCAAAGGCGTAATGGGGTTATCTCGAATGCAGATGTGCATATTGTAGGCAGTCTTGACCCTGTGTCTAACCTTGTGTATACGCTTGTGTTTCACAGTCCATCTCTCTCATGAGCCAAGATGTACTAACTGTTGAAAGCAGGTAAATCAATGACATTATTCCAGCTGCAGTTAAAGAAACCGTTCACCCAAAAATCTCAAATCTGGGACTAAAGTTTTCAAGCTTCAGAAATGACACAAAGAAAGTCCTGTTAATGCATTTGAAAGTTTATATGGCTCTGATGTTTTGGGTATATCTAACAGGCAATTCTTGATCTCATAAACTATTATTAGTTTTTGCTGGGAGGCAAAGTTAAGTTTCATAACTTTTTCATGATTTTTTTTATTTAATCTAAACGTTGAGCGCTGCCTTTGTAGTTTTGTATTGTTTGCTCATCTTTATTTCCTATTGTAAAAACTTTTATAATGGCTATTATTGTTCATTAAAACCAACATTAAATGAACAGAGGCAGTGTTGTGAATGCATCATACATTGTTTTATTGTAAATGCTCTAGCATTATGCATATTCATATTATATAATCTGATATTTCCTGAATGGACTTTTCGTTCACTCCAGTTTACATGTTTTCTGTCACCATTTGACTTTTTTCCTCTTCAAATGCTGAAACGACTGTTTCTACAAAATGCACTGTTTCGTTCCCCAGATTAAAAGTGGCCTTTATAACAATTATAATGTGGGGATAAGCACAGTGTGGAAAGCCCTCAGTGAATTACAATGTTAAAATTTTGGTTCTCTTCTTCACACAACACTATTACATACCTTCAGAAGACGAAGAATAGTTTGCACAAGATCACTTTTACGATGCTTTTACTGTGCTTTTGCATCCCCATTGTAGCTGAATGGAAAAGAGCAACAGTACATGATTAAAAATGTCTTTCTGGTTGACCAGGGAAGTCTTGCTGGTCAAGTTAATTAAGAAGCCAGGATTAAGGATACCGGAATCACAATGCCAGTATGATCCCGCAACAAATACTTGCATTCTCCAGTCCCTTCCAATAAATAATAGTATGGCTGATGGAAAATCCAAGAGGTGACGAGGTTACAATCTAAATTTAGAAGACGTCTGCTCTGTGTGATTTCAGAAACTCTACATGTGTATTGTAACATCAGCTGTTTGAGTTAAACTGATCTGGAAGAACAACAGCAAGAGAGAAAAAAAAAAGAGTCTCAAAATACACTAGCTTAGTATCTCTTAGAAAATGTTCTGCCAGATCTTGTGATCTTTCTGGATTTCATTTTATTGATTGGTCAAATCTTGATGTACAATACTAGAGATCGCATTTGTTGATTTTCTTTCTGATTTTCAGGTCTGCTTGCTAGATCCTTCAGACCTCTTCATTCTCAGTGATCTTAATTTGAATGGCTATGGAAAGTACTTCAATATTGAGGTCATTTGTGCAATATGTTTTACACCTGAAACAGCAGAGGGGGGCAAAAGAGGGAGGCCTGCAATTATTAGATTGCAATTGACGTGACAGCATATTGAGCAGGTATGTTGCAGCAGGGCCTGTTTGTTGCGTCCAATCAACTAACATGGTTTTATCATGTGCCGGCTTTATCGATTGTGCAATAGCATTTCTTCTCCGCAGGGTACCCCGCCCTAACTAGAACCAGATGAGGTGTATCATGTCATACTTGGAGGAGAACGAATCGAACATGACAAAAGTGGGTGGGTATTTTATATTTCTGATACAAAGAAGCGGGAACACATTTCTAAAGGGATATTCTCATGAAAATAAAGGACTGCAGCTGTTGTGCAGATTGAACAAGCGTTGGGGTGACAGGCAGAGAGGAGTGCAAACTCCAGCAAGAGCCGTTTAATGCTTCTAGGGTACATAGGGAGTGGACACACCTGTACTGATACAGACAGCATAACTTGACAGATGAAGGTATTCTTAATGAAAACAACACATTCCATCACACATTACACAACTTGCAACTCGACAGTCCACCATAATCCAGCACTAACCATCACTATTAGTATTGCTCAAAGTCAGGATTACCCTTTGGGGTTGGGGAGTTAGACCTTTTACACAAGCAAGAACCACTTTTTTTTTTTTTATTCAGAAAATGTAAAAATATAGTTCAATGTGATGTATTAGTACTCTGTGTTTACCACAGTACGTTTAGAGAATGTTGGCGCATCATTTTGAACATTTTCAAAAATCAAATGTGAACTTTTTCCTAGATATGACTAAGCAGTGGGCACAATCCCGTCTGCAGCAGCAAAGACAGCCCATGTACCGTAAGTCAGAAAACACCTCTGATGGCTTGATTGGCCTCATGAATTTGAGTCTGACCACAATTCCCACATTTTAACAGCCTGTAGGGTTTAGTGTAGGTGGTATGTTATTTTCAAACACAAAAGAGCAGGAGTGTCAAACTCAGTTCCTGGAGGGCCGCAGCCCTGCAGAGTTTAGTTCCAACCCTGCTCCAACACACAAACCATCAGCAGACTTTTTGGAGATTGACAGCAATGACTCCATGAACATCTGGAACAGTAGTTCTTAACAACTGCCTCAACAGTACAACAAATTCAGCTCTGAATCAAAGCAGCAGAGGCCTTGAGAAGACATTGATTACTTCACTTAACATCTTCAGCTGATTTCCTTCATGGATGCAGTGAAATGACAGCTCTTGCTTTAAAAACTAGATTTACATGTGACATACATAAATTAAATTTATTTGGAAGAAATGTTGTCACTCATTCTCTAGCCTTAACTGACCTTGGGATCAGAAAATGTGCATGTCCAAGATTATTCATCAAACAAAAGTTACCATTTAGCCACAAACTTCATCCATCCACTCATATTCATATTCTTCTAACCTTAAAATTCCATATGTAGATAAACCTCCATAACATGAAAGCCAGTCCTAGCTTGAAATGTAGTACAGTATATTGCCATTATATAGCAAACCTCCAACTGCTTTATTACTATATAAAAATAAAATAGATTAGGTTTTTAAGAAGTGTGGGTGTGAAAGCAAGAGAGAATCCATCTTTTCTATAACTTTATGTCTCCCATGACCCTGGAAAGTGCTGGAATATACAGAATCAAACCGTCAAACTAATGATGAATCTAGCAATGATAACCCACCTGTTTCCCACGTTTGCCAGAGATTATATTATTTTTTTCCACTGAAGGCTGTTAAAAATGTTAGAGTTATTTCCATAGTTTTTGGGGGGTTTTATAGTGGCAGTTTGGGAATCACCACAGGTTCAGCCACCAGCTAATGCTCTTTAACACCCAGTTAAAGCCTTAGCATGATTTGAACATAGTGTTTCCCCACTAACCCTGTGCCTTTCCATTTGAAGAGTTATTACTGATATGTTCATTTCAGATGTATTCCCTCGAGAACCGCAGGTGTTGCATTGTCGCATGCAACAGGATGGATCATAATGGAGTTTACCATTTGTATCTAATACCGGAATGATGTTTTGAGGTTTTACTGTTTCTTTACCTGCTAATAACAAACCCCAAACCTGCAACATGTGTCAGTGGTCCCAACTGTGACACACACAAAAGCTCACATGTATACAGGATATATACAGTCAGTGAGTACCAAGGACTTGGGACAGACAAAGGTCAGGATAATCAGATATCAGGTAGGGCAGATGTGAGTAGAGGTGGCCCTGGCAAGTGGAACCACCAACTGGGCAGAGAAAGACAGGCAGGGACAGAGAGTCTCTGGAAGGGAACAGGACTGTACAGGGTTCTGGAACAACAGACATGACAGTACAGGACAGATTGTGACAAAACTGGCCAGACTGCTAAAACAATAGACAACACAAAAGGGTGAGACAACACACAACAAATGACTAGAGGACATGTGTCAAACCCCGCTCCTGGAGGGCCACAGTCCTGCAGTTTAGTTCCAACCAACTTCACAACACCTGCCTGGAAGTTTCTAGCACTCCTAAAGACTTTGATTAGCTGGATCAGTTGTGTTTAATTAGGATAGGAGCTATGCAGGACAGTGGCCCTCCAGGAGCTGAGTTTGTCGCATGTGCTAGAACAAATGTGAGGATTTCCAGTCATGATTTAGACCTTATCATAGTACTGAGACTGCTCTCATCGGAGTTACAAATGACCTGGTCTTATCATCTGATCGTAGTTGTATCTCTCTATTAGTGCCTCTGGATCTTAGCGGTGCTGACCACAACATTATTTTAAATAGACTAGAAAATTATGTTGGCATTAGTGGAAGTGCATTGGCATGGTTCAAATCGTACTTATGTGAATGAAGAGGTATCATACCGATCACAAGTGCAGTATGGAGTACCTCAAGGCCCAATACTAGGACCGTTGCTTTTCACACTTTACATGTTACCCTTGGGAGATATCATCAGGAAACACGGTGTTAGCTTTCACTGTTATGATACTCAGCTCTATATTTCTTCGTGGCCCCACAAAGCATACCAATTTGCAAAAGTAACAGAATGCATAGTTGATATAAAAACCTGGATGACTAGTAATTTCTTACTGCTAAATTCTGAAAAAACAGTGGTGTTAATTATCGGACCAAAAACCTCTGCATGTAATAACCTAGTACACTGTCTAACACTTGATAGCTGCTCTGTCAATTCTTTGTCCTTTTCCTTTGAAAGCCATGTTTCTAGCATTTGTAAAACCACATTTTTCCATCTCAAAAATATATCTTAAATTATGACCTATGCTCTCAATGTAAAATGCAGAAATGTTAATTCATGTGTTCATGACCTCAAGGTTAGATTATTGTAATGCTTTATTGGGTGGTTGCTCTTCGCGCTTAATAAAACTCCAGCTGGTCCAAAATGCAGCAGCTAGAGTTCTTACTAGAACCAAGAAGTATAACCATATTAGCCCGGTTCTGTCAACACTGCACTGGCTCCCTATTAAACATTGTATACATTTTAAAATCTTGCTAATTACTTATAAAGCCCTGAATGGTTTAGCTTCTCAGTACTTGAGCAACCTCTTATCGCATTATAGTCCTTCACGTCCGCTGCGTTCTCAAAACTGGCAATTTGATAATACCTAGAATATCAAAATCAACTGCGGGCGGCAGATCCTTTTCCTATTTAGCACCCAAACTCTGGAGCAATCTACCGTTGTTCGGGAGGCAGACATACTCTGTCAGTTTAAATCTAGATTAAAGAGAATCTAGATTAAAAACCCATCTCTTTAACCTGGTTTGCACATAACACACTAACACATTTCTAATATTCAAATCCGTTAAATAATTTTTAGTAGGGGTGGGAATCTTTCGGTACCTCACAATTAGATTCATATCGATTCTTGGGGTCATGATTCAATTAAAAATCGATTCACGATTTTTTTCACGATTCACGATTTTTCATCAATTTTTTTGTGAGATGGGAGGAAAAAATATATTTCAGTGCTTTCTCTCACAATTATATAGTTCACACATACTCTGTGTATACTACAGAGTGGCAACATACCACACATTTTAAAAGATTAGATGTTTGTCAGTGGAGCACTTCCTATAATAACATCAATAATCAATTTGATATTTTCCAAACACTTGCCCTCGCTGAAAATGGGGCAGGATGTATTTGTTTTTCCTCCTCCATTGCTGTTGATGTTTTGTTCCGACAACATCATGTTCTCTTTCAAAGATTCGTTCGGTATCTCACTATGGGAATCGCCTCGGGCGTGACCAATCCTGGAAGCACTAATTACACCACGTCTGTCGGTTGACAGACCAATCACGACTGTGATGCGGGAGTCCCGCCTCCCTCATAAATATCGCTGCTAGCGGTCCCTACTTCATTCTCGTTCTCTTCCTCGTGAATATCCTTATTGGAAGCTATCCTCAGCAGATCCTCGTAAGAGTGGCCGCTTAACTGTTCACGGACGAGCCGCATTTTAGGTACGTCGCCGAACACGGCTGCTTTTTGTTTTGGGGGGGAAAATATTCTCGGTGAAAGTGAATATTTTCTTTCTGCTATATCTATTTCTTTGTGGTGGGGACCAGCGCGTCAAGGCGGGTTCTCATTTTCTTTATCGAGCAGTTTCAGCTCCTTTCTCTCAATTATTCCTTCACGTTAAGGGAATAATTGCTGTAAGAGCCGATATCGAGAGGCATGTTGTGGTGATCTCGTTAATCTCCCGGTGTTCGCATCTCTGTTATGGCGACTGCGAGCCCATCCAGTGGCACAGGGAAGGGGAAAGATCCCTCTCGCCCGTGTGCTTGCGGGTCTATGATTTAGTCTAAAGACTCTCCCTCTGTGCATAGCGTGTTTGGGAGAACACGCACAGGTTGTGTTCGCTAATCCTGAGTGATGCCCGCACTGCTCTCAGTACCCGTTAAGGGTTTTGGAGCATCGAGTACGAGTCACAGCTGCGAATAAAGGGGACCCGAGTCTTTCTGCACTTCCCGTGGAAATGAACGAGGTTGCTCCGCAGGCCCGGTGCAGCTGGGGAGAGTTGATGGACGAGATTTCTCCTGAACTTCCTCCCCTCTTTGAATCAGACCCTTTGGCGGGAAACAGAGGAGGAGGAGGAAGATGATGAGACAATTGCTCGTCTTTTAGAGGAGGATTTGGAGGAAGATGAAGAGGGTGCTATCCTCCCTCCTAATCTTTCTTCCAGGCCTGGCAGTGCTATGGGTGAGTCCCTCTCCCCCATGCCAGGGGAACTGGACCTCATTGAAATGTGTAGAAGGGCAGCTGCCAAACTCTCTATCGACTGGCCATCTAAGTAACATAACACATTACTTTCCATAAAAAGTAACTAAGTAACAAAATGTGTTACTTTTTTAGGGAGTAACAATATTGTAATGCATTACTTTTAAAAGTAACTTTCCCCAACACTGGGCTTGAGGAGACATGGGCAACTGCGGTCCTAGAGGGCAAACATCCTGTAGAGTTCAGTTCCACCCCTAATCAAATCAAACACACCTACCTGTAATTTTCAACCAATCCTGAAAACTAAGGTTAGATTTTTCAGGTGAGTTTAATTAGGTGTAAAGCTATACTCTGCAAGAGCAAATGAGTAGAGTAGATAGACTACAGCCTTTGGCACAAAATAATCTGTCAACACAAGAGGAAGCACAATATATATAGGAAGGAAAGCACAAGTCAGCACAATTACCAAAACGAGGACTGGACAAGACTAAACGATGGGACGTGGTACAGGGAAAGGCAAGAGAAGCACATGACCAATACAAATGCAGTCATCCTAATAACAGAATCCATACAATCAGCAATGTTGTGCATTACCAACGTGATTTTATGATAATTCGTAAGTAGTTTACGTAAAATGTGGTTCTATAAAAAACACATTTACTTACGTTTTTACAGGCACAAAAACGTACAATACTGACATATTTTCAGCATCTAAATGTACAAATTACGTATTTTTAGCATTTAAATGTACAAAACTGACGTATTGACGACACCTAAAAATGAATCCTTGTGTATGTTGAAATCGCAGCATTAATTTGATTATAATTGTTTTTAGTTTGCATTATTTAAGTTGTTTACTTAATATGAAATGATAAAATTTCGTTCTGTTCTGTGTGATTTCTGCTGCCAGCTTGTTTCCAAGACTAGGCCTACATAATGTTAAGACTTCACTTTAAAACCTTAAAATAAATAACATTTCTGCAATCGTTTAACCTTTGCTTGTCATGTATGTTTACTTTGTTTGCCATGGGCCACAAAAGGCGTTTTCTCCGACATGCTGTGACTGACAATAGAACTATAAAATACACCAAAAACGCAATTATTATGAAATGAAACAATTTTATTTGTGCGCTGTAATGCAAATCTTCCAAGGGACTGCGAGGAACAGACCCAAATCCAAGCCTTTTTTCGGCGATCTTCATCTCCATTCCGAGCAGCGAGTCCAGTGACCGTTAACGGCAAAGCCTGCGCTGACTGACATGCTCTTTACAAATTCAAATGTTGCTGCTTCAAACTATAGGTGGGGTGTGTGTTTGAATGATGCGCGCGCGCCTTCATGAGTTCTCGGAGTGGATCGGGAAAAGAATCTGGATAATATTTTCAGCGATTAACAAATTAAATTCTGCTCTGCACCTCACACAAAACTACTGTATTCTGCCAGAGAGGACTGCGGCTGCAACGCATCGTCATTTGGATTACTTTTGGTACTGCTTTTGACATTTTTGCAATAAATAAATGATTGTAATTGCATTTATCTGTCTGTCATGTTTTTCTTATACTGTACAGAAATAGTTATGTTTAGGTTTAGAGGTAGGAGTGGGATTAGCAACTATAAAAATATTTTTAATGCTATATTGTTACTAAAATGGTTATTTTCCTGCATATTTCGGTCAATTGCATTTTATATCCTTTTATATTCGCTATAAAATGAGTAGGTTAAGGTTTGGAGGTAGGTTAAGGGGTCTAAAAATCTAAATTGCTTATTGATAAAATGATAAAAATGCATATTCTCTAAAAATGGGTAGGTTTAGGTTTGGGGGTATTAAGGGGTCTAAAAATCTAAATCGCTTATTGATAAAATGATAAAAATGCATTGATACGAATATCTTAATGATATAAAAGGTACGTAAATATTTTACATTTTTTAGCTAAAAATACGTAGCGATTTGTACGTTTTAAACGTTGAAATACGTCTAAATTTTACGTTTTAGTGTCAATGAAAACATACAAAAATGTACATTTTGTGCTTGTAAATATTACGTATTAATACCTACGTATAAACAACAAGACCAGGCAGTCATTACACATTCAGTGGCAAAGAAATTC